TCTCTCTCCCTGTTCTGATACCCTGGTCTATATCATTTCCGCTTGTTGGGATCTATATCTCTTTCCCTCTGTCTCTCCTTGTCAATGTCTCTCTGTCTTTCCCTGTGTTGACCTCCTGGTCTATCACTTTGCTTGTCGTTCCCTTTATCTCTCTCTCCATGTCTGTCTATCTCTCCTTTCCTCCCTCCTCTCCACTCCCGTCTATCTCCCTTTCTGTCTCTCCTCTCCCATCTCGCCTTCCCTGTTTCAACTCCTGTCTGTCTCCCCTCTCCAATCTGTCTCTCTTTCCATCTGTCTCTATTTCTTTATCAGTCTCCATTCCCTCGGGTACCGGGCTGTAAGTGTGCGTGCACGTGTGCGTACACGTTTGGGATGTGCGTACACGTGTGCGGTGTGCGTGCGAGCGAGAGAGCCAGAGAGCGGGAACCCCGCCCAGAACACATCTAGTCCCTTCCCCAACCTCTTGTGCCTCCAGGGCTGGGCCTCTGGGAGTCCCGAAGAGGCAGGAGCCTGGTCGCCATGGCGACCCCACGCTTCCTCCCCCTCCCCGTCTCTCGCCCGTCTGATTGGCTGCAGGCGAGGCTTTGGACAGCTGCGTTATACGCCTCTTTACGCCTGCGCTGTAGACACTGCCAAGTTCGAATAGGCGGGGTCGGGCGGGGTCCCTTTTCCGCCAGCCCTAGCGAAAATAACTCTTTTCTCCTCCCTACCTCACCTCCTCCCTCTGGGCTTTTAGATGGCCCAGAGAGGAGGGGCTCGCACCGACCCGGGAGGCTGGCTTGGGAGGCTAGTTAGTTTGGCAGTCACGCGACTCAGGTCTTTAAATGGCCTGGAGCGCAGGTAGGGAAAAGGAAGAATGAGTGGAGACTAGCATCACCTGCGGTCGGAACGGTACCCTCACCCAGCCAATCAGCGCGTGGCGCGGGTGAGGCTTTAACCAGTCTCTGTGAGCGGCCGGGCTGTTGGCTGGGCTGCCTGGGTGTGACAAGCACAGGCTCCAGGCCCCTGCCCCGCCTCCAGTCCGGAGCCATGGAGCCCGGATCGGTGAGCTGGAGTGGGGGTGGATGGGGGAGGAGGAGGAGGCAAGGAGTCCCTGTGGCCAAGAGGAGGTGCCAAAAGGAGGCAGGAAAACTTTGGGGACTGGAGGGGTTGGGAAGAAGGCTAGAGATCTGGGAGATCAGGTCTTAGGGCCCTGGGAGATCAGAGTCAGAAGGGGGCGGGGAGGGGAGAGCCGGTGATGGTAGTAACTTAAGTTCAAACTTTGGGAGGTGTGGTAATCTGGCTTTGGGCGCCGATGGGGAAACTATATATAACAGCCCTTTTTAAAGGGCGGCGAGCTGTAGTGAGATTGGGATTGAGGAGCCCTGGTTCAGATTCCAGTCTTTCCTCCAGTACTTAACTAGCTGTGTGCCTATGAACATGTATCTTAACCTCTGAGTCTCAGTTTTCCCGCCTGTGAAATGGGGATAATGGTTCTTATACTGCGAAATTTAGGGCGTTATTCAAACGGGTGTTGTTATGGACCAGACTAGAGCTGCCAGGAGGAGGCAGGGAGACCTCGGGGGCTAGAGGCGGGGTCGAGGAGAAGACTAGCGATTTGGGAGAATCAAACCAGGTGTTAGAGCCCTGGGAGGTTAGAATCAGAAGTGGCCTTTTCTGGGAGAAAGGAGGAAGAAGTGAAGGGACCCCTTTCGCCTACCCCCATCTCTTAAGAACCTGGGTTGCTTGTGTCTCTGCCTAAGCTCCCCAGCCCTCACCCAAAAGAACATCGGCATTTCTCCGTAGCTGTAGTCTGGAGAGGGGGGTGGGGGATTGGGGAGGAGCCCCTGCTACATTTTTGTGTAAATGTGGTGGGGGTTTTTTTTCTTCTTAAAAACAGTTTAGAGAGGGGCGGAGCAGCCAGGGGCCCCAGAAAGCTGAAGATGGAGTGGCCTTCTGGGACTTGTAGTCCGCCACCTGAATGGTTCCATTCTCCCTCCCCAGAAACAGAACCCGCCCTCTATCCTCCAATAGCCTCCGGGAAAGGAAAGGGACCGCACCTCCATGGGCGTGGCTCGGAGAGGATGAGGCACTCTGATTGGAGGATAAGCCAAAATGGGCGTTGTCTGAACGTTTCTAAGACGGGAGGGGAGGGGCCAGGTAGTACACTCAAGTTGGTGCTTAGCCCCGAGGGTGGGGCACCCCTGAGGCGAGTAGGAGTTCTTTGCTCGTCCTAGGAACTGGTTTCTTGTCTTGAATTGTCAGTGAAAGACTTCCTTCTCTCTGTCCCTCAGTATCCCCCTCTGTAAAAGGAGGGGACCTTACAAATCATCTTAGAAAGGAGGAGACTGAGCCCCAGAAAGGTCTACTTACTACTCACAAGTAGTGACAGAGCGGGTATTTAAACGGAGACCCGGGGGGCGGGGGGCAGAGGGGGGAGGACTCTGATTACTGAGATATTAAAAGGATAAGGGCCTTGGATCTTACTGGTAAAAGGAACTCCTAGAAGATCCAGTGGGTATCATGCTGGACTGGGTATCAGAGAGAGCAGAGTTCAAATCAGGCTAGAGGCCTGTGGGCAAATCATTGAACATAAATTTCATTTGTAAAATGGAATATGTTTAGACTGGATGGCTTCCAGTCTCCTTGTTCCTTTCCAGGTCTCAATTTATGATCCCAAGTGAGACTATTCCCTCTACCCATTGCAGGTCAGCACCTCCTCAGCAATTTATAGTCTGAGGGTTGCCAAGAGCATTAAAAAGTTAAGTGACTTACCCAGGATCCCACCATAGGTACTGTCTGAGATAGCATTCGAACCCAGGACTTTTGGGTTTTGAAGCCAGCTCTCTCTACCCATTGCTGCAGCCTGCTTCTCATAGTATAATAATATAAAACCAAAATCCTCTGCATTTCTCAAATTTGTTTTTGAGGATAATACAATCTCTAAGCTAATAGATCATGCTTTCCTTGCCAAGTTCAGTCCATTCTACCAGTATTCAGAAGAGGGCCCTTACAGAATCTCTGATCCAACCTCATCATTTTGTAGAGGGACAAAAGGGGGACTTAGAGTTGGTAAGAGTCTTAGCTGCGAGCCCATAGCAAGTCAGTGGCAGACACTAGTCCAGGGCGCAGGGCTCTCTGGGGACCCTTTGCATTAGGGGCCCTGCAGGGTGCAGGCAGGGCCTTCTAACTCCTGACCCCTCTCCCATCAGGGGACAGTGGTGGCCGGCGTGAAGCGAAAGCACCCAGACGACCATGGAGATCCACAAGAAGTGAAGGCTGAGAAGGAGTCCCAGGAGCAGGCCCCCTCCTCCAGGTCCAACCTAGGCCAGACCCTATTTCGACTTTCAATGGACAAATTCCAGCTCGGCCCACAGAGTCTCCTGAGGCAAGTGCTTATCACAAACACCCTGAACTACATTAAAGAAAAGATGAACCTGGAGAGGACCCCAGCCCCACCTCAGGAACCCGGATTGGAGCTGCTTTTACCTGTGACTGCCCAGTCAGCCAACAACTTCCTCAGAGAGCTGGAAGTGATCCTGGGCTTAAGAGCCACACAAGACTGCTGTGAGCCCCCAGATCTGAGTTGGAGCCCTGCCTCTGCCCCTGATGTGTCGAGTGACTGCAGGCAAACACCTCCCCCTCTTGGGGCTTCCGTTTTACCATCTGTCAGAGTTGAGGAGCCTACCCTGGGCAGTTTTGAGAGCATGAGCGACAGGTACCTTGGAGACCTGGTTCCTGATGACTTCTTCCCTGACATTGACACCTCGGATGTGGAAAGAGATCCTTGGCCTTCACCTTCTGCCCTTGCAGCCTATGGGGCAGCCTGCTCCCTAGGGCAGCCTAGGGCTGAATGGCACTGGACTGAACTGGACCAAATCTTGGAAATCATCAAGGGATCATAAGACTGGGGGGGGGGGGGGGGGGCAGGACCTCAAATCCCCTAGCTAGGACCCTGAACCCTTCCCTTCAGATACTTGCTTACCTCTGGAGAGTTTCAAGAAAGTAGTCTCCAAAGATTTCATATCTCAGGAAGTTGGGGTGAAGCTTCCTAGGGCCATGGGAAAGCCTCATCTCTGCCTTGGTCTCAGTGCCTGCTGATGGCAGAACCACAGAATGTATCTCTCTTTCCTGATGGCTTGATGGGATTCTGCTCCCTCTGCCTTCATCCTCCCACAGCCGGAACTCTTGTCACCAAACCCCTTCTCCTCCCCACCCTATTATCCTGACTAGCCTCAGGTGTGCTGGGGTCCCAGCACTCTGGGGCTGCTGTTCCCATTCCAGTTAGCCCTTTGTGTCTCCTATGAGCCTGGTCCCCAGGTGCTCCCTGGTTTTTCCCCTGATATGGCTTCAGATCGGAGGAAGAAGCTGGCCTCAGGGTTGAGTAATTGCCTGGGGGAGGAAGGGGGCAGGGCAGGGCTGAAGGCCAGGAGGCCTGGGCTCTGGGGAGACAAAGTCCAGATTGCCAGGAGGAGGGGTTCCAGACCAACCTCCCCCCCCCAACTCTCAAGGTTGACAGGTATGGAAACAGTACGAAGTCAACATCTGCTTCCCCCTCCCCACCTCAGTGCCTGGCCATAATTGTGAACCCCCCTCCTTTGTCCTTGTTCACCCCCTTCCCCACCCAAATGTGGCCTTGATGAAGTGCAATAAGGATAAAGGAATCTATCCATCATCATGCTTTTTTTTTCTATTTTAAAAAGGCCTATTTCACCCAGTTTTTTGTGAATAAAACTTTCAAATTCCATAATGTCCCTTTAATCCCTTCTTCTTCCCATCATGCCTTTGGCTTAGAGACCTCTGGTGGGTAGGAACAGGTAGCTTACCATATAGGGCCAGAGGTCAGGTGTTTCTCCTTTCTCCACCAGGCCCTCCCTGCCTTTAGGGCTACTCCTGGGTGGGAGGGTCAGTTTAGACTTAGTCTTGGAAGGTTGGAGTTGGGAGGAGCCTTAGACATCATTGCATCCAGCGTCTACATCTTAGAGAAGAGGATATTTAGGCCTGGATGGGGAAAGAGACTTACCTTAAGTTGGCGTTTCTCAAAGAGTGGACCCCTGGGGAGCCCCTGAGACCCTTTCTGGAGGTCTGCAATATTCAAAACTATTTTCATAATAATACTAAGATGTTTTAATTTCTAATATGATAAAAGATTGATATTCAACAAACAAAAGCTCTTGGGAGTGGGAGGGGGAGTGTCTCCTCAATTTTTAAGAATGGAAAAGGATCCTGGAACCAAAAAGTTTGCCCTGTGGAGTGTAGTAAATACAGGAGGAAATTCTTTTCCTCTCCTGGGGAAGAGGGGCTTTGTGGAAGGGTTGTGACAGGGTCTGACTTTCTTCTCCTTTCTTCTAACTCTACCTCACTTTTTTGGGAGGAGGTGTGTAAAGGTTGGCAGAACTCTGCCCACCCTCAAAGCAGGAGTGTTTGCTCAGCTGTGGGAAGTACGTGTGTGTGTGTGTGTGTGTGTGTGTGTGTACGCAGTCAGGACACTTCTGGATGGACTCCTGAGAAAGCTGGCTGAGCCCCTTCCATCTGCCTCACCCACCCTGGGGCCCTGCTTGCTCCCTTCCTGGCCCCAAGACTCCGTTTTCTCTCCCTAATAAAGCCAAAGTCCCCGAGGTGCCCCAGCTTCGGCGCCTCCGGTCGGGCTGGCTTCTTGTCACTTTCGTTTCTGCGCCTAGGGCAGGCCTTCCTGTCCTTCCCCCCACCCGTCCCCGCTGTTCCCCTCTGTCTGGGCCTCTCTCATCTGTTCCCCAGCTGCCAAGAAGTTAAGGACGGACAGGGCTCGGCTCAGCTGCTTGCAATCGCCCAATGGCAGAGCCCCAACAACCTCAAGAGCTCAGGCCTCTCATCGTTCAGAGCAGGGACGCGGGTCCAAAAGGGGGAAGGGTCCTGGGAGTCTGGGCCTGCAAAAGCCTTGCAAACCCCCTAGTACAGTCCTGATTTTACAGCTGATGCCCAGAAAAGGAAAGTGACTTGCCTAGGTCACACAGGTCTGCCCCGCCGGGAGCCGAGCCTAAATTCAAGCTCGCGTCCTCGGAGCCCCTGGGCGTTTTCCATTTCACTGGGGCACCGGACTACCGAGTCGGTCAGAAATTGATTATCTTAGAGACCTAGACTCTCCCCCAAGGGTTTCCCCTCCCCACCCCCAGAACTCGCTCCAGCGGCTTTTTAAGGTGGTCCGGGGCGGGGCGGGGGAGGGGGGAAGGAGGAGGAGGGGGAGGCTCGGCGATTTCCGCCAGGCCCTTTCAGTCCAAATTCCGGGAGTCAGTCTCTGTGTCAAAAATGCGGGGGATGAGGAAGAGATCCCTGGAGGAGGCTAGTTAGACAGGTGCATGTGGGGGTCTTGTGAACCCAAGCAGGAAGGGGAGGACCCAGTCCCTTTGCGGAGGGAGTGGGGGAGAATCCGTTTCTCCAGCTCCTTCATCCAGCCCTTCCCAAAAGCCCAAGAACAGACCCCCGCCTTTGCCCTCCCTAGCCCAGAAAGCGACAGCTGAGACCGAGTACACACCGCCTGGCCAACCAGTGAGTGGCCCCCGCCCCGGGCCTCTCGGCCTCGGGAATCCAGCTCCGTGAGCCTGGTCCCTGGACGGCCCCGCCTCCCCTCCTCACCCCGCCCCCTCACGGAAGCGAACCAATCCCGCTCTCCAGGGGCGGAGCCTTCGAGGGGCGGGGCAGAAGCGGAGGAAAGTAGCAACCCCACGACCGCGCGCCGGAGCCAGTGCAGCTTCTAGCGACCCGGGGGCCAGCCGCGGGAGGAGCGAGAGAGCGAGCGATGCGGTCGCCGCCGCTGCTTCCTGATTGGCTGCTGGTGGCGTCGCGGACCCTCTGATTGGCAGCCTACGAGCCGGGTATGTAAATGAGGCGAAGGGGAAGGGGGGAAGAGGGGCAGGCTTTGGGGGCCGGAGAGGGGATCGCCGTCCCGGGCGCGTCTGATGTCCGGGCGGCGGCCGATGCTCTCGCCGTGGCGCCCCCGGGCGCCAGGCCGAGCCCGGCCCGGGCCGCTGCCGCTGGCGCCTGCTCGGGCCCGGGTGAATCACGCCCCAGCCCCGGGGAAGGGGAAGGGGAAGGGGAAGGGGGCGGGGCGCGGGGGCGCCGGCTCCCTGGCTCCGTCGGCGTGACTCCCCCGCCCCCGCGGCCGCCGCCGCCGCCGCCGCCGTGCCGGGCCGGGCCGGGCCGGAAGCGAGAGCGGGGGCCGGGCCGGGCGGGGAGCCGAGCCGAGCCGGAGCCCAGCGGGGCCGGGCCGGGCGGGGAGCCGAGTGGGGCCGGGCCTGGCGCCGCTGGACCCGCCCCTCCCCCATCCCCAACTGACCCGACCGGCCCCGGGAGCGTCCGGGCTCTGCCCTTGACTCCTGCTTGGCCCTGGGCAAGTCCTGTCCTCCGACCCCGGCCGCCCGGGCCCCCGTCTGTAGAAGCAGAGGAGGGGTCCCCGGCGCCTGCCAGGTCAACCGCGGGTTGTACAAAAGAGGAAACTGAGACCCAGAGCTGGAAGGGGCCCCAGGGGCCATCATACTGGAGTACAGGGTCAATCTTTTTGGTGTGGGGGCCCCTTGAGCAGTCTGGTGAAGCCCTCGGACTCCTTTCCAGAAGAATGTTTTAAAGTGCATGAAATAAAACACACAGAATTTCAAAGTTCATCAGTATTGGAATACGGTTATTAAAATATTTTTTAAATGTTCACGGACCCCAGGTTAAGACTCCCCGCACTAGAGGGTCTCTCACCACTCCTAATTTTCTGGGATTCTTTGTCCCAAGGCATCAGGAGAGGGGCTTTCAGGGTCCTTGGATGAGGGGTGCCAAAGGAATGCCCTGGGAAGCCCATGTTCTGACCCCATACCACCTTTCTCCACAGATCCATGTTGTGCAAAGGCGTGAAACGTAAGCGAGAGGAGGAAGAGGAGGAAGAGTTGACCTCACAGGACTGGCGGCCAGAGGAGGCCACCCCCAGCCCAAGCCCTGAGGAGGGGGCTGGCCCAGCACCCCTGCCCCCCAGCTCTCTCTTCAGCCTATCTATATTCAAACTCCACCATGGCCTCCGGAGGGGCGAGCCAGATCTCCGCCACCTTGTCCTGGTGGTCAACACCCTGAGGCGAATTCAGTCCTCTATGGCCCTGGAGCCCTCTGCCCCAGAACCCCCTTGTCCAGCTCCTGCTGACCCCTTTCCAGTGGTTCCTGATGCCCCTTTGTGCACGTCTGTCTCAACCCTCCTGGATGACCTGAGTCACATTGAGGGCCTCAGCGACACCCAGACAGCCTTCCCTGAAGATGCTCCCCTCAGCCGGCCCCCTGACCCAGGCCTGGATCCTGGGCGGCCATCCCCTCTGGGGTCCCTGGAGCTCCTCCTGGAGGATGGACTGGAGGGTCTTTTTGATGATATTGACACCTCCATGTATGACTGTGAACTCTGGCCCAACCTTAAAACAGACTCTGGGGAAACAGAGGACAAGATACAGGGACCAGGGCTGGATGTGTCTGAACTCGATTACCTCATGGATGTGATTGTGGGCACACAGACTTTGTAGGGGGACCAGGAAATGGTTCCCTGCCTGCCCCCAAGAGGCCCAAATGGACAAGGGGTCATGGGGCTGCTGGGAGCTCCCCTCCAGCTACAGACTGTGAAAGGGGACCTGGAGTTGTGGAGAGGGAAGCGTGGACGGTTTTTAAGATGAAAACAGTTAATATATGAAGCAATGTGTCTGTCCCTTGTCTGTCTCTCTTCCTCTTCCCCACCTGTGCGTATTTAAAATGAATTATCGACCCTTGTTAGTAACACTTGCTGGGTATTCTTAGGGCAAGGCTGTTTGCCTCTCTGGGCCTCAGTTTCCCCAACTGGGAAATGAAGAAGTTGAATCCTGTGGTCTCTAGGTCTCAACTCTGTCTCTCATTCTCTGTGTGGCCTTGAGGAAGTCTCTTACTTTCTCTGGGCCTCAGTTTCCCTTCTGTATAAGGGTTGGAATAGATGTATTTTCCTAAGACCTCATCTAGCTCTGACATTCTGTTCTAAGATCACACCAGATAATATACAATTTCAGAACTGGGAGGGACCTCAGTACAGTGGAATATAGGCTTCTTGATATGGATGGATGGATGGATGGACAGGTGGGTGTATGGATAGATGGATAGAGCATTTAAGAGCATCCTAGGTGCCAAGTGCTATGCTAAGCTCTGGAAATACAAATACAAGCATGGCTGCCCCCTACCCTCAGAGAGCTTACATTCTAATCAGGGAAGATAAATATATGGGGGTTGGAAAGGGAGGCTCAAGGCATTGGAGGAGAAGAGGGTAGAGTCTGGAGAGTGTAGAGGGATGCATGGCTGGGGTCCTTCCCAAAATGGTGGTCCTGTAGAGGAAGTCTACAACGAGGAGAGGAAGGTCCCAGCGTGTGAAGGTGGGAACTGGTTCAGTTTTGTGCTACAGTTTAGGTACATAGTAGGTGCTTAATAAATGTTTATTGATCAATAGCCCACTCCTGTACCCAAGCAAAAATGTCTTTTACTGTAGCTATTCCCAGACTTTGGCCTCAGGACTCCTTTACACTCTTAAAAATTGAAAGCCACCCACTCCCTTTGTTTTCCTCTCTGGACCCTCAGTTTCCCCAACTGGGAAATGAGGGAGGTGATTTCTGTGGTTTTTTAAGGGCTGTGGTTGTAGCTATCGATATCTACAGTATTAGAAATTAAAGCATCTTAGTATTATGAATCTCAAAGACCTCCTAAAAGGGTCCCAAGAGTTCCTGGTTCCAGGACCACACTTGAAGAGCCTCAACTCTATTATCTCTAATAAATGGCCGTCCATCCTCCAGGTGGAGATGTCCAGTGATGGGGAACTCACTACTTCCCAAGGCAGTCCGTCCCACTGTGGGAAAGCGTTTTCTCTCATATTAAGCCATGTATTCCTTTTCTCTGCTTCAGTAAAGACCTGGGAGGTCTCTGCTATGCCCTAAGGTCTCTTCTAGCTCTCATCCATTCTAAGAGCACTTGCTTTTCAGAGGCTTCTTTTGGCTGGGACATTCTGTGTGCCTATGAGATGGTGCATCTGTCTGTTCCCTGCCTGTGGGAGCTGTAGCTGGGCCACATTCCTCGGGCCACTTAGTCGTTTGGAATGAGCAGGGCTGGGCGGGGTCCCTGCACACTCAGCACCCTGGCACGGGGCTCTCGCGTCCTTCCTGGGACTGGGAAGATGGAGAGGGGGTTGGGAGGACGTGGGTTGAGGGTAGAGGGAGGGAGGAGCTAGGGATGGCCAAAACCAGAGCCCTGGGGAGAGAAGATGCTTAATAAGAAATCCTACACCATAACTCCCAGGCTGGGGTAGAAGGAAGGAAAATGGTCCGATTCCTGAGATCCAGAAAGGAAAGAGGGTTCCTACCCTTCTGGCGCCCTCATCTGTGCTCCTGGTCTCCAGTGGGATGAGGGCCAGAAGAAACCTCAGTTTTCTGGGGGTTTCATGGGGCTGGGGAGCAGAGAAGATACTTGAGTCTCTATTCAGAGCTGAGGGGTTAGGAGAAACACTCCAGTAACAAGCAGGGGGGTGTATTAGCAACATCCCTAGGCTGAGAGTCTGTGAATCTGGGCTACCCATGGGACCGTGGATGGGTCGAGGTCTCTTTGGGCTCAGTTTCCTCATCTGTAAAATAGGAGGGCTTTACTCGATGGGTTCTTGAGCTCCTTCCAGATCTAAATGCTATTATCCTCAGGCTGCCTAGGAGCCCCAAACAGGTCCCTTCCTGTCTGGCCGGGTCTGGCCCAACCCTCCACCCTCTCTAGTTCAGCTTCCTGCCCTGTTCTGGGGGAAGAGGGCGGAGCCAGCGAGCCCTAAGATCCTGCCCCTCCCAGGAGGGAAATGGGCTGGGCCTTTGGGAGACCTCTGAGGGGGAAGAACCCTGCCTGGGGCAGGACGGAGGACAAGACCCAGTCCCCTCCAGTCCTTGTCAAGAGAGTGGACCTTGCTCTCTCTGGGGATTCTCACCTACTCACCTGCAGTGGTGGGGTTTGAAAGTCATGGGCTTTAGAAGAGCTCTAAGAACACAGAAGACTGAATGATGGAGTTGGAGGGGGTGGGGAGGGGGTCTTAGAAATTGATTGTAAGAGCCAGGAGGAGCCTTAGGACACAGAAAGTTGGAGCTGGGAGACGCCATCGACTGTCTGACCTGGTAGAGTTCTTAGAACAAGGAATGACAGGGCTGGGAGGGGCCTTAGAACAGGGAATTTGGGGGCAGAAAAGAACTTGGAGGAGCAAATTTTCTAAACCCCTCATTTTGACAGAGATGGAAACAAGGCCCTAAAAGTGAAGGGATCTGCCCAAGGTCACACAGACAGTAAGGCTGAGGCAGTTGGGATCTTTCCTGGGCCACTTTTCATGACAGCAGGTTACATTTTAGGACCCGAAGTGCTCTCCACTTCCTCCTCAGGCTTCCTCGGTAAGCCTCTTTCTACACCTAGCATAGTCTCCTTTTATTCACCTTATGATCTTGGACATGTCCTATCCCCGAGCCTCAGTTTCCCCATCTAGAAAAGAAGGTGACTGTCCTGAGGGCCCCTCCTACCCTGCTGCTCAGACACGCTTTGAGTGAAGTCAGGCTGCCCATTGTGTTCAGTCCTGCCCTGTCCAGCCCCCCCTGCACACATTCCCAGAGCCCACACCATTCCTGAGCGAGCTGCCTTCTCACACTGCTCAAAGGGCCTCTGTCCCTGCCAGTCCCCTCCAGCACTTTAAAGTGGATGCCACCGAGCCCCCTTGGCTTCCCACTTTCCCATTGGGGCCTAATGGATATGCTTTCCTCTTGGATTGGAGGAATATTGGATGGGGGTAGAGGGGTAGGGCTGGGGGGCAACTGAGGAGAGAGATGAAACTTGGGGAGCCCTGAGGACAGAAAGCCAGACTTCTGTGGGGATGCTTAGAGGAGAGACAAGATTGACCAGATATGAAGGGAAGGATTGAGGGTATGAGGCAGGAGAAAAGCCAGTCCTCATGGCTGGCCCTGTTCAGGCTGGGGCAGAAGGAGCTGTTGAGGTAGAAGGTGGATGTGCCCAAATGGCCTTTCCCATTCCTAGCCCAGTGCCCACAGGCAGACTGTCCCCAGGCTGGTTGGAAGTCCCCTATCCCCACGTCCCCTCCCTTCCCCTCCCTCCGCAGGATGTCCTGTGTTTACAGAGATCCCTGGCCTACTCCTTCCCCTACCTACCCCTTTCCCAAACACTCCCCATCCCAAGGCTGCTCCCTATGCCCATCCCAACCCCGCCCTGCCAGGCCCTCTGATCTCAGTCTTTTCCTAAACAGAGTTGGCTTTTTGAGGCCCTGCTCCATGACTGTCCCAAAGGCAGCCCAGTGTGGAGCAAAGGATTCCCTGCAGACCCTGACAGCCAAAGGAAGCTGGGGTCCAAGGCTCCCCTGGGTCCCCCTGGGGCCCGGTGAAGATCCAGGCAGCTGGCCACTGCCCCCTCCTTTCACCCCATCCCCAGCACCTCCCTCCCATGGGGGCTCAGTGCCAGGGTCCAGCCTGGCTGCCTGCCCGAAGGTTATTTCCTAAAGCTCAGCAAATTCCAACTTCCCCATTGGTGGCTGGGAGTAGGCAGGGAAGAAGGGGGATGGGGCATTTTTAGGGGAGGAGAGGGAGAGATGTTTTCCTTCTCTTTTACCTCCCCAGACACCAAGGGAAGGGAACCCGGAGCTCCTGTCCCCACCAATCCCCATAGGAGCCCACCCAAGGCAAAGAGAACCAGGCAGTCTGGGCTTGGGGAGTACAACCTACTGGACTGGGAACTCACAGACCTGGGTTCTGGTCCTGATTCTGCTTCTGGTTAGCACTGTGTCCTTGGGCAAGTCCCAAGCCATCTGGGCCTTGAGTACTTCATCTGTATAAGGAAAGGCTCTGCCTAGGGGGTCTCTAAAGGTCCTTCCAGGATTAACATTCTGTCTTCTGTGTTCTAAGCTCCCTCCAACTCTGACCATTCCATGTTCTATAGCCTTAGGTGCTGTGTTCTAAGTTCTCTTCCCCAACTCTAAGAGTCTGTGTTCTAAGGCCCCTTCCAGTTCTGGCATTCAATGTGCTGTGTTCTAAGGTCCCTGCAGGTCTAACAGTCTGTGTTCTAAGGCCCCTTCCAGTTCTGGCATTAGGAGTTCTCCTATCCATCCAGTTCCAGGATCCGGTGGGTCCCAGCCAGGGCACAATGGGTCAGTGCAGAACCAGGGCAGCCACCAGCCCTCAGTCCCCTGGAGAGGGACAATGACCAGTGCCCAAAAGCTGCTGACAGGCAGTTTGAACTAATCCCCCAGCCCCGGTGGGCCCCATTCCCCAGAGCTCAGAGTAGCTTCAGCCAGGCAGGGATCCTACAGGCAGGGCACAGTGAGTTCTGCCCAGAACAGGGCCATGTGGACCTACTTCTGTTCCTTGTGCCAATCTTCGGGGCCAGGTGAGTCTGGGAGAGGAGGACATGGGGAGAGGAGGACATGAGCAGTGGAGGGAGGAAGGACGAGGAAGAGTCCCGGGATACTTCTCCCTGCTGACTACCCAACCTGACCTGCTACCTCTCCCCCCAGTGCCCTTAAAAGCAGGGAAAGCAGACCCTTTGGCCCCACCTTAATCAGCATAGAGCCCCTTGGGGGCAGGAGGCACTTTCTTTACAGCTACTCTGTGAGGTAATCATTACCCCCATTCTCCAGATGGGAAAACTGAGGCTCTGAGTGGGAAAGTGATTTGCTCAAGGTTATATAGCAAGTAAGTGCCAGAATTGGAACTCGAACCCCAGTCTTCTGACTCCCCCATCCCGTGT